AAATAATAAAAATTTTAAAGAAGTTTTTATGTATATGAGTATTTTGCCTGCATATATGTAAGTGTACCTATGTGTGCAAAACCTATGGAGGCTAGAAGAGGGTGCTGGATTCCCTGGAGCTGGCCCTGTGGGTCCTGGGAACTGAATCCAAGTCCCCTGCAAGCCTGCAAGACTAGACAGTTCTCTGAGCCATCTCTCCAGCCCTGTTCTTGCTTTTTCTTTTCTTTTTGAGACAGGGTCTCTCTATAGCCCCAACTGGCCTGGAACTTGCTATGTAGACCAGGCTTGACTTGAACTCATAGAGATCTGCCTGCCTCTGCCTCCCCAGTGCTGGAATTAAAGGCGTGCACCACCACACCCGGTGCATTTTATTATTTTTATTTTATGTGTAAGCATCTATTGCCTGCATGTAGGCAAGTGCATCCACGTAGTGCAATGCCCATGGAGGTCAGAAGAGGCTGTCGGATCCCCTGGGACTGGAGCTATGGACAGTTGTTTGCTGCCATGTGGGTGCTGGGATTCAAGCCCAGGTCTTCTGCAAGAACAACCAGTGTTCTCAGCCACTGAGCCATCTCTCCAGCCCAACTCTTCTAATATTTAAAAAAATATTTTATTATTTATTTATTTATTCATTTATTTATTGTCTTTTTGAGACAGGGTCTCCCTGCTGCCACAGCTATGGAGATCAGGCTGGCCTTGATCTCATAGAGATCTGCCTGCCTCTGCCTCCAGAGTGCTAGAATTAAAGGCATGTGCCACCACACCCGGCTTATTTATTATTTTTTTATTTTATGTGTATGAATGTGTTGCCTGCATGTATGTGAGTGCAATGCCCACAGAGGTCAGAATAGGGCATTGGATTCCCTGGAACTGGAGTCAGGGACAGTTGTTAGCTGCCATGTGGATGCTGGGAACCAGTGCTCTTAACCACTGAGCTATCTCTTCAAGCCCCCTTCTAATCTTCTAATCTTTTACCTAAAAGGACACTCACCTCAGTGTCCCCCTTGAGTCTCAAACCCTATACCTTTCATAATCTTCTCCTGCCTCTCCCCTCTATGAGGCGGAATTCCCTTTGCAGTCCCCTGAGTTCTGCCTAGGCCCTCTGAGCCTCAGCTCTAGTCTGCTGTATTATAGCATTCAGAGTTTGCCACCTGCCTGTGAACTCCTCCCTAGGAGCAACACAGGCCCACAGGCCAAATACCAGTCTTCCTGACTTTTCTTGGCTAGAGCAGGAACTCAAGCCATGGGTGATTTTACTGTGTGACCTTGGGCAAGCCACATAACCTCTCAGAGACTGTTCTATAGTGACATTACAGCTTTCTTTTCCAGAGCTGCTGGGTGACTAAGGAGCCCAGAATACAGGGCCTGACCCGCAGACCATGTATCAGAGTCTTGCCTGTCTCCTTCCTTGCCCAGGGCAGCCTTGCTCACCTGCTCAGCATGTCAGAGAGGATGTCCAGGGCTTCCAGCTGTACAGCCACATCCTCCTGCTGGGCGATGGCACTGGTGAGCTGACCTGTGATCTTGCGGCACACATTAATGGCCAGCCCTGAGCCTGCATAGGGCACAAGGTGGGCAGGGTGAGCCTTGGGCTTGGAAAGATAGCCTCCATCTCTGGTCTGCCTGAGCCCACATCCCCTGGAAGTCTGTGGTCCAGGAAAGCCAGGGCTCCAATGGTCCAAGATTTGACCTGAGTCTGAACCAACTACAATAGTCAAACTGATGACTGAGCTGCTGGCTGGTTCACACCCTTTTACCAGGGTGGTGGGAAAGTTAAACACTTCTTTTATCAATTCTTTGCTGTTAGCAGTGGCCAGGTCCCCAGCTCTGACCAATAAAAAAATCTTCTGTGCTGGAGAGATGTCTCAGTGGTTAAGAACACTGGTTGTTCTTGCAGAAGACCTGGGTTCAAATCCCAGCACCCACATGGCAGCTAACAAACTGCCTGTAACTTCAGTTCCAAGGTATCCAACAGCCTCTTCTGACCTCCACAGGCATTGCACAACATGGGTGGACTTCCCTACATGCAGGCAATACACACATACACATAAAATAAAAATAATAAAAAAATACTAAAAAAAAATCTTCTGAAGTCTTCTGGGAAAATGTGTCTTTTCTTATGAAGGGGAGAGAACATGAACAGAGAATGCAACTCTATTAAGATTGAGCTACAAAATGAATTGCTACAGGGCTGCAGAGATGGCTCAGCGGTTGAGCACTGACTGCTTTTGCAGAGGACCCAGGTTCGATTCCCAGCATCCATATGGCAGCTATGAACCATCCTGAACTCCAGTTCCAGGGGAATCCAGAGCCCTCTTCTGACCTCTGCAGCATTGCCTGACACGGGTGCACTCACATACATGCAGGCAATACACTCATACACATGAAAAATAATAAAAATAAATAAATGAATAAAAAATATTAAAAAAAAAAGAATTACTACAAAAATGGGAGTGGCCAGGCTGCAGATTCAGCTTAGTGGCAGAGCACTTGCCTAGTATATACAAATATACAAGCCCCCGTGTTTGATTCCCAGTACCACCAAAAAGAAGAGGAAGAAGAGGAGGAAGAGGAAGAGGAGGAAAGAGCTATCCCTCCAGAGTTATGGCAGGTCTTTAATCTGCCGTGAGTTAGAGTGCCTTACTTGCATCTATGAACACATTCCTAATATCCATGAATGTAAAATGATATGGGTCTGAATTCTGTACCACCAAGGAACCTCAGGTCCTTTAACTTCTCTGAGAACAGTTTTTTGAAGAAGAGTTGGGGTTTAAACACCTTTAATCCTAGCACTTGGGAGGCAGAGGCAGGTGGATCTTTGGGAGTTTGAGGCCAGCCTAGTCTACATAGTGAGTTTCAGGACAGCTGGGGCTACAGGGAGACCCTGTCTCAGAAAGACAAAAAAAAAAAACAAAAAAACTACGAAACAAACAAACTTTAATAAAGGCTTAAACACAGAGCTAAGAGAAAGAGAGGCTCAGAAGAAAGTAAAGCACACCTGAGAACATGGGCGTGGGTTTCTAAAGAGCAATCACCTGATCCGAGTATTTTAAACCTGTAACTGGGATGAAGATTAGCACCCTGCCTGGGAAGCCTGGGTACCTGTGGCTGCGGGAGGCAGCTCTGAGAGAACTGTCTTAAGGCCAATGCCGGCGATGTCCCGGAGCTGTTCCTTGTCTGATCGCATGTTGGCACAGAGGGTATCCACAATGATCTCCACCTGGTACTCCTTCACTTTGCACACCAGGGGACCCAAACTGATAGAGAGATGGAGAGAGAGATGGAGGGAGGGAAGGAGAAGGGTCCTAAAGCCTCAGGCTTAGCCTGAGTCAGGCTGCCCCTTTCTGTCCCCTCATGCTTCTGGAGCCTCCTCAATGGAGGAAAAGGCCTCAGCTCAACAGGGGACCCTCTGCCTTACTAGGAAAAGCAGTATACCCCAACACCTGTGTTCTTCATCTCACCCTGTGGCTCCACAGTACCACAAAACAACCATTTTTGCACCTAAGTGTGTATGTCAGCATTCCCGGAGACTTACTAAATACAGACTGCTGGGCCACCCCAGAGTATCAGCTGCAGGGGGATTTAGGACGGGCCTGTGCCAAGCAGTTTCCACTTGCTGATGCCTATCAAGCTGAGCCCTGGAGCCAGGCTTCTCAGTGGATCACAATCACCTGGGGACTTGTTAGGGCTATAGAACTAACCCAGATCTCTGGGATCAGGGTGTGCAGTGGCACAGAGACCCCAGACAATCTGAACGAACATGGAGGTTTAAAACTAAATCTCTGGGGGGCTAGAGATCCAGTTCCAGAGGATCCAATGTCCTTTTCTGACCTCTGAGGTAGGCATTACATGGATGTGGTACACATAACATATATGCAGGCAAAAACACATAAAAATAAAAAAATAAAAATATTGCTGGGTGTGGTGGTGCACGCCTGTAGTCCCAGCACTCAGGAGGCAGATGCAGGCAGATCTCTGTGAGTTCAAGGCCAGCCTGGTCTACATAGTGAGTTCCAGGACAGCTGGAGCTACAGAGAGACCCTTCTCAAAAAGACAAAAAAATAAATAAAATTAAGTAGATCCCTCGGTCAACTGGTGTGAGGTGTGGTCTGGATATGGATTTAAAAAATTCTCCTGGTTGGGGCTGGAGAGATGGCTTAGAGGTTAAGAACACTGTTCTTGCAAAAGACCCAGGTTCGATTCCCAGCACACACATGGCAGCTAACAACTGTAACTCCAGTTCCAGGGGATCTGACAGCCTCTGCTGTCCTCCAAGGGCCTTGTACAACACGGGTACACTTACAAACACGTAGGCAATACACACATACACATAAAATAAAAATAATAAATAAAATATTTTAAAAAATTTCTCCTGGTCTTTAGTTGTTGAGAAATGGTTTCAAAATATATAGCCCAGGCTGGCCTCAAACCTGGTTTCCTCCTGCCTCAGCCTCCTGAGTGCTGGGATTATAGGCATATGCCATGGTGCTCAGCCCCTGGGTTGAAGGCTCCTGCCCTAATGTGTATCCACACAGAGATTCTGGAGTCTGCCCTCTGGTTCTCCTGCTCTCCTCACTCCTATGCCCTTGAGCTCATACTCTGTGCATGCCTACCTGACCCTCAGCTGCTGGTACCTGTACCTTTGCCTGGAGATATCAGCAACTGAATGCCCCTTCACCCTATACTAGGAACAGCTCTCAGCCAAAGACGAGAACCAGGGGATTAATATCACAGCATCCTCATCCCATGGGTGGGCAACTCCAAGAGAGGCTGTCTTATGCCAGGCCCCAGAGGCCTCTGGTATAGCTAAAAGTTCAACTCATAGCAAGGCATGGTGGTACATATCTAATCCAAGCACTCTCTAAGGAGGCTGAGGCAAGAGATCACCATGAGTTCAAGGCCAGCCTGGGATACATAATGAAACCCTGTCTCAAAAGACCAAAGTAATAATAATAAATTAATGTTAAAAAAATCTCAACTAATCTAAGACAGCCACTTGCTTAGCCATGCCCACTTCACAGGCTTTCTTCTCCCTCCCACCTCCTTTTCCCTACTCCTTCTATGTTTCCTGGATCACCTCCCACATAACCTTATACTTGAACCTGCAGCTCACAGTCTACTTCTGAGAAACTGGAGCTGAGCCACAGTCCAACCCTACTGTGCCCCCAAGAACTGCCCAGTGATTCACACAGGCTGCAGCCCAGGGGCAGGGGCCCTCCCTGCTGCCATTCCATCTACTCCATCCACTTACCACTTGACAGCCAGGTTCTGCACCTCACCGCTCCTGTCCTCCAGCAGCCTCAGCAGTGTCCGCACCACCTTGCGCTCACTTTCTTCATCCAGTTGGATTGAGTCCTTCTGCAGCTCTGACATCAGGTCACTGGTGGCCATGAACCTGGGAGAGAGAGGGAAGGAGGGCTGTCCAGAAGCTGCTAGGCCTTTGTAGACTGGCCACACCATTTCAGAGTTCCTTAGAAGTGGACCTTAGTATAGGGGTTCAAAGGCAAGTGGGTCATTAAAGCTGTGGGCAGGGTTGAGCCACCTCAACTAGACCAGCAGCCACAGGGTGGGAGACTAGAACAAGCGGACAAGCTAAATAAGTGCTCACAACCTGGGGTAGGGGCTCCTTAAGCTGCCATCTATGCAAATGGGAACCTGGACACATTATTTCCCTTCTCTGAGCCTTAGTTAACCTGTATGGAAAATAGGGTTGAGGCACTGGAGAGATGGCTCACAGGTTAAGAGCACTTACTGCTCTTGCAGAGGGCCAAAGTTCGGTTCCCAGCACCCATATCATGGCTAACAACTGTCCATAACTCCAGTTCCAGGAGATCCAATGCCCTCTTCTGGCCTCTGCAGGCAGCTAGCATGCACATGGTACACATGCATACATATATGGAAGTAAAACATTCATATACATAAAATCGATCCATCAAAAAAAAATTTTAAGGGATGAGGGGGCTAGAGAGATGGTTCAGCAGTTAAAAGTACTTGTTGTTCTTGAAGAAGACCTAAGTTCAGTTCCCAGCACCCACAACAGGTAGCTTACAACCACCTGTAACTCAAATTGCAAGGAATTCAATGCTCTCTTCTGGCCTCCATAGGCACCTGCATGCACATGATACACAGAAAAGCAAGCATATGCATACATTAAAATAAATGAAAATTTTTTAAAAAGAAAAAAAAATGGGGGTGAGAAAAGGGCCTGCCTCTGCTCATGGAATTGTGGGTATCCAGGGTGAGCATCCAATAAATGGAGCACTTATGTCATTTATATCTCACAGCAAAGACTGGCTCATGAATGCCAGAGTGTGGGACAGACACCTCATGGCTGAGTCAGGTGTGGGAAACTACCTGTACCAGATAGGTAGAGAGAGACTGGCCCTGTCCACACTTCAGACAACGAACACAGGCCCGGCCCTCTGCAAACATTTGAACCTGAAGTCTGAATCTGAAACACCAGGTGGGCTTGTTCATCACCAATAGCTCCACCTCAAGCCTTAGTCCATAGGTTGAGGTTGTGGCCCAAGAACATGCATTTCCAAGTTCTTCTTGCCCCACTTTTTTTTTTTTGGCTTTGAGACAGGGTCTCCCTATAGCCCCAGCTGGCCTGGAGCTCACTATGTAGACCAGGCTGGCCTTGTACTCAGAGATCCGCCTTCCTCTACCTCCCGAGTGCTGGGATTAAAGACGTGCGCTGCCATACCCAGCAACCCCACTTTCTTCTCTACCTATTAAACTCCTATTCACCTGTCAAGAATCTAACTCAAATGTTCCAGTCTTGGGGATAATTGGTCACTTTGATCCATCCACATACACCTAAATTTTACTGGTTCCCCTGGACAGGATCTTCTCAAGGCACTTTGTACCCCTCCATTATAGCACTTCTCCCCTGTGCAGTGATGAAAGCATGAGAGCATTTCATTAAGCCACTACCAACACACACATACATACATACACACACACACACACATAGGCAGATACATAGACATACACAGGCACACACACACATACATACACATACATGCACACACAGACACACACACATACATACACAGACACACACTCTACATACCCAGCAGGTTCATCTCTAACACTCCATGCTCAGTAAAGAACAACTCTACAGAGGGTCTAGGAGCAGGGTGAGGGCAGGAGGGTGGGAGCAGGAGACAGCTAGTGCAGAACAGACCTTATAGCCAAATCACCATGGGGAAACCTGAACCCAGAAATCAATGCTTATAAAATATGCCTTAGCATTTCAAAAGCCTGAGTTCCTATAGACGCCCCTCTCTTAGAGAAAGAATGACATTGTGGGGGCAGGGAGGGGTGGTAATTTGATGGGTAAGAGCTTCAGCACAGAAGTTGGTTTTAAGTAAATTTACAGGTCTTGACACTTATCAATGGGGATAATTTCAGCCACCTGCTGGCTTAACTCTGAGTCTGTTTTTCCATGACTAAAATATGAATTTTGGGAGAGATGGCTCAGCAATTAAGAGTATTGGCTGTTCTTGCAGAAGTCCCATGTTTGGTTCCCAACACCCACATGGTGGCTAACAACCATCCATACTCCAGTTCCAGGTGATCTGATGCCTTCTTTGGCCTCCATGGGCACTCCATGCATGTGGTGCACTCACATACACGCAGGCAAACACTCATATACATAAAATAAACTCTTTTAAAACATGAATTTTCTTTGTCCTGCTCCCATAGCATCCCTGAAGGTTTTAATAGGACAACTGGCTCTTTCATTTTTAAGATTTATTTTAATTTTATGGGTATGAGTGTTTTTCATGCATGGAAGTACATCATGTACATGCCGGGTGTTGGAATAGGCCATAAGAGGGTGTTAGATCTCCTGGAACTGAAGTTGCAGGCAGTTGTGGGCAGCCATGTAGGTGCTGGGGACTAAAACCAGGTCTCTGCAAGAGCAGCAAATGCTCTCATCTCTCCAGCCCGGAACAATTTGTTCTAATGTGATGCTGATGAGACAAGTAGGCAGAGAGGCTGTATAGCAACTGGGGGCAAATCAGTTCCCAGACAACTCTCCTGGCTACTCAGACTGCACTTGAGTTTCCACAAAAGGATTTGGAAATTTCAGCCAGATCTCTCAAGCGTACTGGTTTTCCCTATCAGTGTCTGAGCCCCACAAAGCTCGGGACCAAGGTTTCCTGTCCCCTGCTTGGGACCTCCAGGAACTGTGGGCCATAGTCTCCTGTCATCTGAGAGGCAACTCTGTTGAAACACCAAGCCACATGGCACCTAGACAGCTGGTTGGGGGACTCAGCCCCCTGGTATTCAGACTTTTAAAAATAGACACCATTCTCATATGCCCAGGGTGGTTTTAAGTGTCCTCAGCCTGCTGGCAGGGACAGGCTGAAAGGGCTTTTCAGGCCCTGGCTGGTATGGCCAACTCCCTCAGACTCTTCCTGACACTGGAGACCCAGGAGACATGTCCCCTCAGCTCTGGCAAGCCATGTGACCTTGGGCAAGCAAAGTCTCCCTCCAGACCTCTGAAGAACAGGAAGAGCCTGGGCCCAAAGAACATTTTCTTAGCGCCTACCTACCCTGTGCCCCTGTACAGGCTCTAAGCCACCAACAGGAGCCTCGAAAGTGACAGAAACAGAGGGAAGTGCCTAGCCCTGCACTTGATGGGTCCAGAGGCATCTTGATGACAACTGAGTGGGAGCAAGCAATGAAGGTGGGGTGCTGGAGGTGCAAGGTCCAGAGAGGCAGGAGGGTGGGGCAGACCTCCAATACACACAGAATCATACCAACGACCATTCATGAAGCACTTACCTGGTATCTAAGCACATCACAACCACCAACAACCAATAGTAGCTAAGGTTCAGAGGGGTGGAGTAACTTGCCCAATATCACAGAGTCAGGAAGTCATGGCAGCCAGGATCGGAAGCAAGGACAAAGGCTCCAAGGACCTACTACCACCATGGGGACCTGAGGATAGGTGTCAAGGAATGGTTTACAGGATAAAAGCTTCAACCCCCATCCATTATGGCTGGATTCAGAGCCTCACTAAGACATCCACCTCTGTGTTAAGACTTGGTCCTGGCTTTGGCATTGCACTTAGACCCTTCATGGCCCTGAACCTCTGTTTCCTTATCTGTAAAAGGGGGGATAAATGTGACAGAAGACTGAGAGTGGGTGTAGAGTTCAGCTAGCTGGGAGGGTACAGAGCTGGTTCTCGGATAATGAGTCAAGTGAGCCTGTTTCCCCTGCAGATGAGGGGCTATACCAGATGTTCCCATCATTCTCTACAATTCTGTTCCTGTGGTTCTAGACCTCTTAGAGTCAAGTGAGCCTGTTTCCCCTGCAGATGAGGGACTGCATCAGATGTTCCCATCATTCTTCACAGCTCTGGTCCTGTGGTTCTAGAATGCTCGGAAAGGGTACAGGAGAAAAGCATAAGGAAGTAGAATCCCCCCCCCCCCCAACCTTTGCCTCCTGCCTGCAAACCAGACTCAGCCAAGCATCCTTCTTGGGAGAGGGAGTAAGAACTGAGGGGCAGGGGAGAAGGGGTAAGGGATGAAGGGAAGAGACCTGGGGAAGAGAGAGATGAGGGTGTGTAAGATGACCAAGAGACGAAGCAGGAGCACGGTTATGGGTAAGGGGGTGGTCTCGGGAATGGAGTGGTCTCTGGAAGGGCTTAGTCCCTGGATTAGGGTCAGAGGCCTATACTGGGGTCCCAAGCAGAGGCCGAGGAGAGATTAGGATGGACGACCTGAGGGCGCCAATGTGGGGGACCGGCAGGCTGGAGGCAGAAGAGGCGGGAAGAGGTCAGGGGCGGAGTCGACGCAGCTGGGCTGCAGCCCGAGGCCAGCGCGGAGGCCTGGGGCTCCCGCAGGGGTCTGCGGGGGCGGGTCAAGGGCGGCCCCGGGTTGTGGTCCCCAGGAAAGAGCCCCGGGCCCCCTCGGACCGCACCTGAAGTCCTTGTCGCTGGACGTCATCTTCTCCAGCAGGCTGGAGATGTGGAAGGTGGCGGTACTCATGCTGGCTGCGCCGCAGGCCGCGGGCCGGAGTGAATATGGCGGCGCGGTCTCCCCTCCCCATTACCACTCCTCTCCCATGCCACGCCCCCTTCTAGAGCCACGCCCCACCTGCCACGCCCCCGCCGCGGGCGCCTCTGGAGTGGACCCGACTGAAATAGCCGCCTCCGGCCGCCTAGGAGGACTCTGCCGCCAGCCAGGGCTGGAGCGCAGCATCAGCTTGCTCATCCCGGAAACAGGGAGCTCACCACCTAGCACCGAAGCACGACTTCTCCCTAGGGCTCCTGTAGCTCCCAACTCTGCCCAGCTCCCAACTCTGCCCAACTGAATGCATGAACACAGTCTCAATCTCAGGCCGATTCAGCTGTTGGAGCCTTGATGCTTCACTTTGAGTCCGAGCTTTCTCATTCTGTAAGCATTCAGGAAACGGGGTCCATTAAGAAAAGTTGGTCAAGTGAGCCTAAGCATCCCTTGCTGGATCCTCTGAGTTCCCATTCTAGCCTAGACTGATGTGGAGGGTACAATCAGTTACACCAGGGGTCCCCAGTCCCTGCCCCACAACCCTCAGAACTTCAGGGCCGGTTTATTTTTTTATTTTTTATTTTTTTTGGTGTTTTTGAGACAGGGTTTCCCTGTAGCCCCAGCTGGCCTGGAACTCACTATGTAGACCAGGCTGGCCTTGAACTCATAGAGATCCGCCTGCCTCTTCCTCCCGAGTGCTGGGATTAAAGGTATGGGCCACCACACCCGGCTTGGTTTCTTTATTTTATAGTAATTCAGTTGTGCCCTGGAAAGCAAAGGGATTTGCCCAGGGCCACACAGCCAATGGATGATGGAGTCAGGATTGACCTCAAATCCCTAATGCCTTGGGCAGCAGCTCTTCCCTAAAACTGACCAGTTTCCTAGTTAGGTGGTGTGTGTGTGTGTGTGTGTGTGTGTGTGTGTGTGTGTCCTTAGGAGTGTTAAACATGGGTCTGGAGTCCCAAGAAAATGACGATATAACTCAAAATATTTTGGGAAGCAAAAAGTTTTACTTCTGCAGAAGGGTGCACAGCGGTTATAAATCCAGCAAGCAACTACAGGGGGGTGAGCTGTGGGGGTGTCCCACTGAGATTTTATTCTTAACACAAAGGGGTCCTGTGCCTCATTCTAAGTGGTCAGAGCTTGACCTCACATTCTTCCATTGTTGGCTAATTCAAAACTGCACAGCTGATAAGCAAAATGCCGCTTTTGAGAGCAGGAAGCAACTTTGAGTACAAACTTTAATCTTAGAAAAATGCTGACTGGGGAGGGAGTTTTGCCAGATGTTTTGACAAATTTCTTTAAAGATGGAACTTTCTTTTGGGGGGAGGCAGGAGGGGTGGTTTGAGACAAGATCTGCCTGTAGCCCCATCTGGCCTGGAACTCGCTATGTAGATCAGGCTGGCCTTGATCTCACAAAGATCCGCCTGTCTCTGCCTCCAAAATGCTGGGATTAAAGGTGTGTGAACCACCACACCTGACTTTTTTTTTTAAAAATTTTTATTTATTTTAATTTTATGTGTATGAGTGTTTTGCTTACATGCACCATGTACATGTAAACTGCAGAGACAAGAGAGGGCGTCAGATCCCCTGGAGCTGGAATCATGGATGGTTGTTAGCCCCCATATGGGTACTGGGAACCAAACCCAGGTTCTCTGGAAGAGCAACTAGTGCTCTTGGCTGCTGAGTTCTCTCTCCAGCTCCTTTAAATTTTTAAAAAATTAATTTTAAGCCGGGCGTGGTGGTGCACACCTTTAATCCCAGCACTTGGGAGGCAGAGGCAGGAGGACCTCTGTGAGTTCAAGGCCAGCCTGGTCTACATAGCGAGTTCCAGGCCAGCTGGGGCTACAGGGAGACCCTGTCTCAAAAAGATTTAAAAAAATTAATTTTATTTATCTGAGTATTTTGTCTGCAATTATGTGTAAATGCATGTATGTGTAAGTGCATAGTTATGCATATGTAACTGCATGTGTTTGTATTTATTAATTTTATTTGTATCATATATATGAGTGTTTTGCCCTGCATGTATATGTACTGCATATATGTGTATGTCGTGCATATTGCATGTATAGTATATAAGTGCACCCATGAATGCAATGCCCATAGAGACCAGGAGAGGGCAACATGTCCCCTGGAAAGGGTGTTGTGTATGGTCCTGGGTCTTCTGCAAGAGCAGCTAGTGCTCCTAACTGCTGAGCCATTTCTCCAGCCCCAAGATGGAACTTGCATAGTCTCATTTAACTTTTTGATAGAAAATACAGTACATTTCATTTACATTTTCCACAGGGCTCTATAAAACTGCTGGATGGGGAAAAGGAGCATGTGCTTTGAAACTTCAAATCTCTGCTAGGTTGCTTCTTGGCTAGGTGGCCTTGGGATAAAGACACAGCCTCTCTCAGCTATTTTTAGTTGCTCTGGAATAGAGAAAAGATATTTATCTTATATGTATCAAAATTTCTGTTTTTGGAACTGCGAATTGCATCACTGAGCCATAACCCCAGTCTGATAAAGGGAGATTGTGGAGGGATTGGGATGGCTTATGCCTGTAATTCTAGAACTCAGGAAGTGATGGCAGTAGGATCAAAAGTTCAAGGCCATCCTCAGTTACATAGTGAGTTTGAGGCCAGCGTGGTCTACACAGTGAGTACTAGTCAAACCAGGGCTGCATAGTAAGACCTTGTCTCAAAAAATATTTTCTTCCATTTATTTGTTTATTTAATTACTTATTCATGGAAGGAGCAGGTAGAGGTTAGAGACAACTTGCAGGAGTCAGTTGTCACCTTCCACCATGCTGGTTGCAGGGATCAAACTCAGGCCATCAGACTAGTAGGCAAGTGCCTCTCCCCACTAGACATCTTGCTGGCCCAGTCTCTGATGTTTTTGATGTTTCCACAGATTTTCCATTTTTATGATGTCCTTAAGTTGGAAACACACAGTAGGGCAGAAGCCTGGTTTCCTCCACTTAATGATATGCTTTGAAGGTTTTTCCATGTCTTTTCCTGGGAATTCAAAACACCCAGTACATCCCCACTCCACCAAACCCCTTACTGTCTCCAAAGACCCACGAGGTATACATTTGGTTCCAGGCAGCTGATTCTGTTGGATGTTGGGAACTTTTGAGAAGTGGGTAGGGACCCAGTTAGACAAGAAGCTAAGGTCTTGTGGTCTTGTGGACATGTCCTTGAGACCCCACCCCTTCTGGTCTCTTGCTTGCTTTGCTTCCTGCCGTGTTGACATTAATTCTGCCACCTGGACATGATGCACTGCAACAAGCCACTTGAACCAATGACTGAGTCCTGTGAAGCCGAGAGCCAAAGTAAACCTTTCCTCCTGTCAGCTGAGTCTGTCTGCTGCAGCAAGCTCACCCATGCGCCCGTGCATGGAAGGCCTCACTCAGAACAGCAAGGACAAGCCCAAGAATGACTTCAGTTCCCGTGCCTGAGAAGCTGCCAGAGGGACCCTGGAGAGGGTCACCTGCAAACCTTTGTTTCCTTGAAATGTAGTCATCCAGTCTGTGGGGGAGGACCAACCCAAACTCCTAGGGCTAGGCTGTGCCTCAGTGGAAGAGCGCTTGGCAGGTGGAGGCAAGGCCCTGGGTACCATCCTAGCACCACAAAAATTAAATAAACACAAGTAAATAAATAAAAAAACAATGAATAAATTCCATCCCAGCACCATAATAGATAAATGGATGGATCCTAGCCAAATCACCTCCACACAAATCATAACAGAGTTCAATTCATTCTCCTACTGTCTGTAGTTTTTGAACAAAGTCTCTTCACTGCTTTTAACTCATTTTAAGGTGTGCTTATCCTAGACAGCTCATTTGTTTTTTGACAGTGCTGGGAATCAAACACAGGCTTTGTATGTGTTAAGCAAACTCTACCACTGGGCTATATCCCTGGCCTTAATCCCTCATTT